AACAGTTTACGTCGGGGTGGTGTAGGGACAGTGGTGCTGAACATCAGTGGGGATGTTTGGTGAGGACGGTGGTTGGACCGGGGGTGTTTGCTGGCGGTCGAGAGGGGAGGTTGTGGGGAGGGGCGTTAGAATCGGTAGTGGACCCCCCCCCTCCGGTTTTCGAAGGGGGGGGGGTTCGAACGGTAGTGACCCAGTGACCCCCGGCTTTCGAGTTTTAGATGGGGGTGGGGTGGGAGGCGTTAGGGAAGGGGGGGCGGGGCCGGGGGTAAGGGGGGGGAGGTCAATTTACAGCAGGGGGGGGGAAATTTCGGGAGGGGGGGGGAACCCCTGGGTTCCGGAGGAAAACGGCGGCAATTTTCCAACAGTGGAGCGGCGGTGGATCACGCTCTCTCTCTCTCTCTCTCTCTCTCCCTCTCTCTCATTATATATATATATATATACATACATACACATATATACATAGATATGTGTATATATATATGTATATATATGTATGTATGTATGTATGTGCGTGTATATGTGTGCACGCGTTTACAGATTGGCGAAGTATCGTGTTTTCGAGCTCGATGTCTTTCTATCGTGCCCTCTCGGTCGGGTGGATTGATGGCAGAGGGTCGTGGTCGGCGTCGAAGATGGTCTCTTCCGAGCATTTGATGAGGCGTCTCCCGTGTTCGTTCGCCTCCACGGCCGGGCGCGGATCGGAACAGTTGGCTGGGAGGGACCATGGCACCGATTTTTACCAGGAGGGGTTGCCCATGTTGGAGGTTCGAGGATGCAGCCGTTTCTTCGCTTTTGGCCGTTCTTACATGGGGAGGGAGGGGAGGAGGAGGAGGAGGAGGAGGAGGAGGAGGACCAGGAGGAGGAGGAGGAGAATCCGTGCCTAAATTTTCTAAAGTCGCCACAATCGGAGACACCCTCCTGCGCCTGGGGGGTGGGCCCACCAGGCCCGTGTCGCGGCAGCGACGAGCGCAACGGCGGCGCCGCGCGAAGGCTACCACGGCGCCCGCGAAGCACCCGCACGCCACCGACTACGACGCTATCGTGCACGTCTGCAAGAGCCGACTACAACAGCAACGAGCCAACCGATATGTCGAAGTTTACGTGCGGAGCCCGAGGAGAGCAGGCGTTGGTGCGACGCTTCGCCTGCGCCGCCCAGAACAACCAGAGACCGCCATGGACCTCGCCACCCTCCGAACGCCCGACGCGTGCCAGGGCGCGGGGAGCCGGCAGGAGGAACCTGGGCACCGCCGACATTGGCGCTAGCGGCACAGCTGGAACTCAACCCGAAGGTCTCAATTTGCCCTCCATTTCCAGTGGGGGGGGGGGTCGGGGAACATTGAGAAAAGACGTGTGGAACCCGTGCCCCCCCCAACCCGAAATTCGGGTCTTCGGGTTGGGTAGGGGTGGTCTGGTAGGTAGTCAGGAACCATGATGCATGGCATGAGCTGCCACCTTCCTGATGCTGGAGCAAGAGGCAGTAGCACAACTGCTCCAACTCCGCCGCCGCCGCCGACGCTGACACCACCACCGCCTTCCACGCCAACGCCAGCACCAACACCACCGACTAGACAAACGCAGCCACGACAGCCTCAACAAGGACGCCCCGGAGTTCATCCCTCCGCCTGCTCTGCCACTGGGCTGCTGGACAACGGCCACGACGGACGACGGGCGCCGAGCCGATGTGGCCCATCCGCCCGCCATCCGTGGCCTAATCCGCCGGGAACCTCCTCGCCGAAGCGGCCGCGGAGGCTGCCGCTACGCGACGCCGCGGCCACAGCGCCTTCAAACGCTGACACTTCGGACCACGGGCCGGAACAGCGGCCCCAGAGCTCCGAGGGGCAGCTCCCGCGACACCCCCCAAGGCACCCCGCGGCCCCCCGACTTGCCCAAGGGCCCCCCGCCCCCCCCATGGCCCCGACGACCCCACGCCCGACGGACGGCAGCAGTACCCGCACGGGCAGCCCCTGGCCACAGACCCCGGCCACAGACCCGTCCACCAGACACATCCCGACGGTGCAACAGACGGCCACCACGACGCACCTCCCCACGAGCCCTCTGCCCCCCGGCGCTCCCGAGTGGATGGCGTCCACCCGTGGAGGCCCCGAGGCCTGCTGGACCGAACGCGCCCCTTGGCACCAGACTCGGAGGCGCCGCCGCCAGCGCCCACCCCGACGTCCGACTACGCCGGCGCTGCTGCCATCGACATCCAGACCTAGCAGGAGGGGACAAAACACAGACACGATTGATCGTCGACCCCCAGGAAAATATTGGAAAGTATGGGAAGGTGTGGGGAAGACAGAAACCCAGAAAGTGTTGGAACATATGGGAAGTTTTATCATTTGTGTGTATTCATTTGTGTGTCCTGGGGCCCTTTAACCCAGCAGCCACCTTGGGCCAAGACGGCCCAGCAGAAAGACGTCCAGAAGATGCGCAGCTAGCTTCGAGGCGGCACCCCGGGAGCAGGATCACCTGGTGGCCGACCTGGCGCCCACAGCCCCATCCACGACGCCGACGACGATCCCACGTGACGCCCCCGACGTCCCATCCCCACACGATCCGGCCGATGATCGCCACCACAGAGGCGGCCCCCAGCGACGGCCACAGCCACCGCGATCGTTGCAGTCGAGCTGCCCACGGGGAGCACACCCCGAGAGCCAGCGGCCGCCACCATGGCAGCCGGGGTCACGCGCCCCCCTCTTCCATCCCCCCCTCCAGCAGCGGCGAAGCGTCCTGGATCGCCCATAGCCTTACCAAGCAATGTTCTGAGAACCTTCTCTGTGGCTTCCACGAAATGCTCTCAAAACATGCCTGGCGGAGTCTGTCTTGTTTGAACACAACGGGTGTATGTTCTAAGAACATTGTTTGTGTTCTTTGCACATCTTGGAGTTCTAAGAACATGTCGTGGTCGGACTGTAGGAATGCATGGACGGTCGGTCCCTGCTCACCCCCCCCCCTCACCTCCCCGGCGCTGCGCGACAGTCAGGAGGAGAAGAAACACACAGACACAATTAATCTTCGATTCCCTAGAAGATATGGGAAAATATGGGAAGTGGGGGGGAATCAAAAACCCAGAAATTATGGGGACATATGGTGAATATTTTTATCGGTGTGCATTTATTTGTGTGTCCTGGGGCCCCTTCAGACAGGCTGGGCCCGTGGCACGGGCCCACCCTCCGAGGAGCGCCTCCCCCCGTGGTGCCCTCCTCCCCCAGCGACGAATCCCCTCCGACTGCCACGACCCACGACTCCCCTACCTTAGTGGGCCCTGGAAACGACAGGGCCGTTTTTTTACCGGTTCCGTCTTGCCGTTTTTTTGCCGGTTCCGTCGCCGTTTTTTGACCGGTTCCGGCTCCGGTTCCAATCCTGGAGCCGTTTTTTTGCCGTTTCCGAACACCGTTTTTGTTGCCGTTTCCATTTTCAAGGGGCATTTTTTTGGAAACAGTGAAAAAACGGCCCTGCCGTTTCCGAGGCCCACAAAGTCCCCTACCCTTGTGGCCTGGCATCGCTCGGGTGTTTGCATGGTTCCTTCGGCGAGGACCATCGAGGAGCATCCTTGATCATTTGGCGAAAAAGCCACGCACAAAACCGAACAAAAACACATGGAATGGACGTCCGAGCGATGGCCAGCCCCCTGCGATGCCCTCCTCCCCCAACGACGAAGACCCTCCGACCGCCGCGACCCACGACTCCTCTACCCTTGTGGAAGCCGATGAGTGGAGAGGAAGCATGCTGCCAAATAATTTCCAGATGTCTAAAACATGTGTCAAGCGTGTTCTAAACGTGCAAAGAACATGGTTGAAACATGCTCATATTTTTTTACACAAGGTTTTTCAACACAGATTATGAATTCAATGATACGATTGTTAGAGTGCCCATTTGTCATGGCGTCCACACAACTGCCCTGGCTCCACGACCCTCCCGTCGCCATCGGCGCAGCAGCTCCACGAACCGAGTCATGCGCCGAGGGGCCCGGCAGGCTGCGGCGCCTGCCGCCGCCAGGAGGAAGGGGGGGGGGGGGGCTCGCTTCTGTTCATCAGAGCGGGAATTACCTACCCCGCTTTCGCTTCCAGGCGAAACCAAGCCACACCACGCGCCTCCTCGTCAAGCGGCCTGACCAGCACAGGCTGCAGTTTGGCATCGGTTGGTATCTCTTGGAAGCGGGGGTGGTCAAAAGCGAGGTAGGTTTGTTTTTCCCCTAGTTCACCACCACCCCCAGCAGAGGAGCGACCGCTGTCGGGGGGGGTGCGCGTTCGAGGACATCTGAGGCCATCAGTCCTGACCTGAGTGAGTCCTGAGAACGAAACGAGAAGGAGGAGGAGGTTGATACGGAGGAGTCCGAGAATGAGGAGGCGGGAGGACGGGCGCGGAGGGAGGGAAGGACACACAGAGGTGGAGGAGAGGGGAGGTAGGAGGATGGAGGATGTGGAGGAGGAGGAGGAGGAGGGGGAGAAGGATCAGCACGTGGTGGGGGGACACAGTTCGTCGAAGGACGGCTGGGCCGTGGCCAGCACCCACAGTGGGGTTGGCCATAAGGACACAACGGTGCTCAGTCGTCGTGCCACTGCCTGAATTTGAGAAATTGCCATGCTTGATGCCGCAGGGAAGCACCTCACTTGAGTGAGGCTCTCGACCTGCCTTGTCAACACATTCACTTCGCATTCAAGGGAACACTACTCGAATGACAAACCACATACACTTCGCATTCAATTAGAACTGAGTGAAAGGAGAGCGGGGATGACTAATCCCGCGGGCCTCTCCACTGAGACCAACAGCAATGCTATTAGTCCTCTCAGGGAACCACCGACCCTCCAGGGGGCCCTTTATCTCTGACCATTGTACCTCCTGCAGGGAAGCACCTCACACTTTGTAAGGCTCTCGACCTGCCACATATCTCAACAACACATCTTGGCAGCGAGAAGGGCTTCAGCGAGCCCTGAATTGTAAATCAGCGCGGGACTTGCCACTGTTGACAAGCCATGAACAAGGCAAAACGCGGCCCATCACGACCAGGACATCGAAGACGGTGTCCACGTGGATGGGGCCTTCTCGTAATTGTCAACGCAGTCCTTCCTCCAGCCCATGTTGTCAGACTTCTTTATCAGGTTATCGCCCATCCAGCCGTAGCTTGGCATTACAGGCGTGCCCTTCTTGACGAAGTCCTTGTTCCACCCGTGCTTGACCAGCATGATCTTCGACTCTTTCGCGGCTTCGGCATAGCGGGATTGCTTGTATCTGTCGGTGTCGCAGTCTTTGCCGTACTTGACATCGCAGCCCTTCCACCAACCCATGCTGTCAGACTTCTTCAGAAGGTAGTCGGCCTTGTTGAGATCGCGATGGCCTGGGGCATCGATGACGACGGTGTAGTGCCACTTCTCGGTGTAGAAGTCTTGGGTGGTGCAGGCGCTGGTCACACCGCACTCCTGCTCCTTCTTCTGACGGTCCATATAGAACGCGAAAGCGATGGAGCCTTTTGCCAGGCGTTCGGCCTCCTCCTTCAACTGCTCCAGTTCAAGTTCCGGAAGGCAGCCCAGGTCGTAGTGGAGGCGGTCGGTGGTGGTGCTCTTGCCAGTGTCAACATGCCCGCAGATCACGATGGAGAGGTGCTCCTTCGCAGAGGTGGCAGGCATGGCTGGCTGGTGGGAAATGACCCGAAAAACTCTGTGGGGTGGATGCGAACAGGCAGATTTGTTCGAGCCCCAAGCTCCTGGACCTGACCAGGAGTGAAATTCTATGGTGTCCTCAGCCCCCAGAGGCCGAGGACTTGAGCCAAAATGGCTACGGAGGAGGGGGAGAAGGAAGAGGAGGAGGAGGAGGAGGAGGAGGAGGAGGAGGAGGAGGTGGTGGAGGAGAGATGCAGGACGAGGATGTTGTGACTGAGGCCCGAGATGCCACCTGCTGCGTTGGCGTGGGCGAGAGTTTGGCTCTGCGGCGCTCACCACGGCCACCGGAGAGAATCGCCCGTGCCCCCCGCAGCACAGTCTGATGTGTGTTGTCGTTTCGCGATTTTCCCCACTGGCAGCGTCGACGTCTGGTCTGGTCTGGTTGAGTCTGGTCGTGTCGTGTTGTGGTCTGGTTCGTGTCGTGTCGACGCGGCAGTGTCCCCGGCGCGGGCCTTCCAGGTTGCACGTCTCCGGTGGCCCCAAAATTGCTTGCATCGATCTAGGCCTCCTAGATGGCCTCGGAGTAGATGGGGTCGCAGGATCGCGCCGCATCGCCTACGCATCGCCGATGCGGCTCGATGTGCAGCCCGGCTTGCTTCGCGTCGATGTCGCCGATGCATCGCTGGAGCATTGCCGGAGCATTGTCGGTGCATCGCCGATGCATCGCTGATGCATCGCCGATGTATCGGCGATGCGGTGCCGTCCTCCGACCCCATCTACTCCAACCCCATCTAGGAGGCTTCTAATCGAGTGATCTGTGATATCGGGAAGACGCGACTTTTGTGCGGTATCAGAAACCACGCCCAGGTCGTTACGACACGAGTCCGCTGAGTTTTGCCTGTGCAGAGGCCAGGCGCAACGCTAGGGAAGGACAGGCTCAGGAGGGGAAACGCGTCGAACCCCACTCGTCCAGTGATCGTCGATGGGGGCCCGATCATCCACCCCGCCCAGGGAGAGTGGACTCGCAATCGGGGGCCTGTGCCGATCTATCGGCGAGACGTGTCGCCGATGCAAGCTCGCTATCCCCCTACCCTCCCTTAGCCACTCCCCCCCTGTCGGTACCCCTCATTCATGTATTTCCCTGCTCGGAAGTGCAATATTTTGCCTGGGTCTGGGCAGCATTGCTATTCACAGTGCTGCATCAGTCTGCATTGCGCTGCACAGCCGTGCGCTGCTTTGTGTTGCTGCATGCTGCGTTGCTTGGATTGCGTGCGTTGCACAAATTTGCGTCGCCGCGTGTCTACGCGACACAGTGCTTTGGACGAAGCCAGCTTCCTAGTTGGGGTCACCCCTGTCTCGGTGTTCGAGAAAGAGCACACGACTGTTAAGATATTAGGTGTTAGAAGAAGCACGACATCTAAGTTTTGCGCCTGCTGCACGTGTATTGAGTATTTAGCAGGTTTATCGCCGCTTGGAGCTGCGAGCATTTTTCGTTGTGCTTAATCCGATAGCCCTTATAACGGCGACGATGGAACACAGTGCCGGGGAACTGCTTTGAACATCACCAGTCGTTCAAAGCAGTGCCCCGGCACTGCTTTGAACGATGCGGAAATGCGATCAGCAGGAGCCTTCGTCTGTTCCTTCTCCTATTCTCGTCGCTGTATGCTCTTCCTTGTCCTCCCTCCTCCCCCGTTCCCTCTCTAATTAATTACCTCGTTCTCCCAGTCTCACGCGCACTCTTCCTCCCACCTCTCCTCCTCCTCTTCCTGCTTCTCCTCCTCGTCCTCCTCCTCCTCCGCCTCCTCCCCCTCATTTGTTATATTTCTCCGTCCTTGTCCTCCTGTCCCCGTTCTCCTTCTCCCTCTCCTCCTCCTCCTCCTCCTCGTCGTCGTCGTCCTCCTCCTCTTCCTCCTCCTCCTCCTCCTCCTCCTCCTCCTCTTCCTCCTCCTCCTCCTCCTCCTCCTCCTCCTCCTCCCCTTCTTCCTCCTCCTCCTCCCCCTTTTCCTCTCCCTCCTCCTCCTCCTCCTCCTCCTCCCCCTTCCCCCTCTTCCTCCTCTGCTATCACTCCTCCATAATTCCTGTCCACTCCTCCCCTTCACTGATCTTCCTCTTCGTCATCATCATCCCTTTCGTCGCACGCCTCTTAATCCTCAATCGGTTCCCAATCTTCTCGACTTTCTTGTCATCCGCGTCCTTGGCTGTTGGAGGGGCCTCAGGAATTCTCAGGGCTCTTGTGTTGCACGCGAAGGCACACCTCCCAGGAACGCATCATCCTCCTCAAATTCACCCTCCTCCTCCTCATCCTCCTCCTCCATGCACGTTCGGCTCAAGCCCGCGCCGACGGTAGGTTTCACGGCGGTTGGGCGGGCTCGCGCCCGCCTCCGCGGCCTGCAGTCGGGGCAGAGATGCGTGCAGGGTGGGATGACAAAGCGGAAGAGGAAACACGGGCCGCAGTTGCGGATTCTTCAAAGAGCAGCGGCGGCGGTTTGGGAACAAGTGGGGGTTGGGGCGGCCGCAGTGGCGGATACGGCGGCGGAGGTGACCGCAGTGGCGGCTGGGGCGGCGGAGATTCTCTTGGCGGATGGAGAGGAAAAGCGCAGGATGGCGGCGACGGACGTGACCGCAGTCGCGGATGGGAGGGCGGCGGATGGGGCGGCAACGGATGCGAGGGTTGGGGAATGGAGGGCGCCCGCTGGTGGGACGACGAGGGTGGCTGGTGGAATGCATGGAAGGTGGCCGCTCGAGTGCCTCGGCAGGTTCTCCTGCCGCGGAGCCCGCGGCCGCAACAGCGGCGGGCAAAGGAGGCGGTCCCCTGATTCCCCCAGGGCGCGAAGAACAAGGCGCAGTTGCGCTGTTTCAAATTGTGCGCAATGAGCCGCTGCCAATTTTCAAGTTGGAATTCTTCGAGAACTTCATGGCGAACTGGAACGGCAATTATAAGCAGCACAACGCGTCCTTGAAGTGGTTCCGAGACGAGTACGAAGACCGAGAAAACCCTTTCGGCAGCCGCACGCCCGTCTTCGGAGGTACCGCAGTTGCGGAGGAAATTTCGAAGATCCTTAAGTACCGCGCAAAGGGGAAGGCGCAGGACAACAGGGATTGGGACTGGGGCCACACTGTCAAAGTGCCGTGGTCTTGGCTGGAGATGGTCGCGCAGATGGATGGACCTACAATGCTGCGCGTCGTGTGCGGCCCTGACAATGACCGCAGTCGCGGGTTGGTCCGCTGCGAGTGCAGCCCGTGCCCTAACAGTCTCGACAACATGAGGCACGCGAAAGGGGTGGACAGAGGACAGGCGCAAACAATCTCTCTGCCCCAGTGGGATTTCGCCCTCATCCGCGACGACGGCTCGGGCATTCGCGTCCACCCATCCTGGTCTAGCCCGAAGTTCAACACGTATGAGATGGAGCCGCGCTGGCACCCCGTGCGCGGCCCGACGGCAGGTCTTGGCAAGAGCGATGGCCACGGAACGTTCAAGTTCTGGAAGATGCTGCACGCCCGTGCGAATCCTGGGCGGTTCGATGCGAACAAGGGGTCGCACCTGCAACCGCGGTGGTCCGCGCAGCCTTGACACCGCAGCTGCGGAATTCAACCGCAGTGGGCGCAGCCGTGGAACCGCAGTTGCGGGGGCCGATCGCGTGACGCCGCGCTCGTCTGACTCGCTATGCGCGCTTTCGGCCGCAGTTGCGGCGCTGCCTTCTAGCGACTTCATATAGCTTGGCAGCAGTTGCTGCGCTCCCACGACTGACCGCTGTAATTCGGCGCTTCGGGCGCGCGTCACCTCCGTTGAAGCGCTCGTGACGTTAGCGCGGCCGCAGTTGCGGAGACAGGCAAAAAGATGGATCCGCAGTTGTTCGTCGTCCTCGTCGCCCCTTCCCGTCGTCCTCGTCGCAGTCCCCCCCTCCGCCTTTCCTCCTCGTCGCAGTCGGCGTAGCCCGCCTCCGTCATTCGCCCTTTCTTCCGTTGGCCGTAATTAGCCCGCCTCCGTTGGCCGAGTCATTTCCCGTTGTCCTCGTCGCAGCCCCCTCCGACGGCCGCAGTTGCGGACTTTCTCGATTCCTCCTCCTCCGTTTCTGCCCCGTCACCCTCGTCGCAGTCTCCTTCCTCCTTTCATCCTCGTCTGAGCTCCTCGCGGCATCCTCTTCCTTCTCGTCCTCTCCATCTTCCTCCTCGCCCTCCTCGTCCTCATCCCCGCCGTCTCCCTCGTTGTCCTTCCTCGCCCAAGCCGGCCGCAGTTCCCCCGTCGGACGGGGGCCGCGCGCGGCCGCGCCATGGACCCAGGTCGCAAAGCCGAGGTCGACAAGCGGTTCGCCGAGCTGAAGCAGCAACTGCGGGAAAGGTTCGGCCTGCAAGGGGCTGCCGCGGATGCCGCAGTCGCGGAGCCGACGGAGGACCGCAGTTGCGGAAGCCCCGTGCGACCGCCGCGCGAGGCCTCCCCGCAGTCGTCTAGCTCCTCGCGGGAATATCGGCCGCCGCCGCCGATAAGCGCTGCGAGTGGGAGCTCTGCTGGTGGGGGGCGCGAAGAGGCGCAGTTGCGCAGGGCGCACTTGACCCCCAAGGCAAAATGGGGGCCTCGGGCGCAGACGCCGACGAAGCAGCAGGACCAACCAGCAGTGACGGGTGCCGCCACCGAGACCGCAGTTGCGGGGGTGGCCGGCGAGCCAGGTGCCGCGCGCGGCTCATCTGGGAGCAGCGCGCCCTCGGCCGTGCTGCTCGCAGCCGAGTCCAAACGAGGCGCCCAACCCGAAGACGAGGCCGCCTCCCAGGAGAAAGCCGCCGAGACAATCGCCTCGGCCGATTCGCGGCCGAGGAAAAGGCCGCCTCCCACGGAAGGCTCGCCTCTGTCAGAACCGCAGTCGCGGGGTCGCGCGGGGCCTCCGTCGGAACCGCAGTTGCGGGAAGATGCGGGAGCACCGCGGAAGAAGCAGCGGACCAGGTCCCCTCCAGGGATAAACTACGTTGGGGAACGCCCCAAGTGGAACGAAGGATTCCTTCGTACAGCAGACGGCAATCGGGTTCCGTCCACC